GCATTTTTAAAATCGATGGGTTAAAAAATGTGGTTGACCAAAAACCGATACGTTTGTAAAGTCAACCTTTTTTGATTATTTTTTGTAATATGTCGGCCAAATAATATCAGATTTTGGAATTTTATACCATTGTGTACTACAGTACTATCGCTTGGCATCAAAAAAGTGAAAATCTAAATTTTCACCCAAATCAACATAACGGCAAGGGGTTACATCACATTTTTTCTCAAATTCGGGGTCGGCTCGAAAATCGAAACTTTTTTGATGTTTTTTTTTAATATCTCTGGTAAATTTAGTCTGATTTTGAGTTGTTATAGGTATAACAGGTATATAGGTATTCGTAGGGATCCCTACTATCAATCTGCATTCAAACATATAAAATATTTTTAAAATTTTAATTTTTTTATAATATCTCGGCCAAATAATGTCCGATTTGGGAATTTTACACCATTTTGGACTCGTAAGGATCAGTACTTTCGATTCAAATTCCTACAATAATATTCCTTATGGAAAACTGCCAAATTATAAATGATTCTTATTAAAATTAGCGAATAAAACATCGATGGATCCCAAAAAAACATCGATGGTTCTCAAAACACCAAAAATATCGATGGAATCGACGGTCCTATCGATAGTTGGTCAGCTCTACTTTTCCCCATCTGCAACTTCACTTATTTAGAGAAAATATCCTAAAACAAAATAAAACTGTTTTTACCAATTGAAGTTGGCGTTTACCTGTCCTCACAGGACGGCCAAATAATCCTCTTAAAGTAGACGGCAGAGAATAACTTAATAAATTAAAAACATGGGAAAATCTGAAGGTATGTACGTCTCATGTATCACAAAAAATAGTCATCTTTAGTTTTGAATTCTATAATCATTTAAGATCGACGCTCAAAGCGGAGTAAACGACAAAAACCGGCTAGGTTTGCCTCGCCTACAGAGTCACCGCCATCACCGACACATGCAATCTGTGCTCCGGAGCCGATTGAAATGATAACAACGCAGGCAGCTGCACAAACACCAGTAAAACCTGCAGTGACAACCCCATCGGTGTATAATAACAAGACTAATGAACGGACACGACCTGTGTCCAGTACAAAATCTTTGCCAGGGATCTCAACGCCACCCAGCAATTCGACGAAGAAGTCTAGAAAACGTCGTAACTCCGATACTTCCAGCGATGAGGAGCGATGGTTAAATGCCATCGAAACTGGCAAACTTGATGACGTCGATGATGAGATGAAAAAGATAAAAGATCCCAAACTAATGACAGCACGCCAACGAGCCATGTATGAACGGACGCAGGATGCCGAGCCTGCATTGGCGGGATTTGTGGAAGAGCTTATCGCACTTCCAAGTGGGTATAGGGAGAAAGAAAAACCTCAGACGGCCGAGGAGATTCAAAAGGCTGCGCTGAAGTCGCAAAAGCGCAAACAACAAGCAGATGAACGTAGGGAAAAAGACAAGCAAAAGACGATGGAGCGCCTGCTCAAGAAGCAAGAAACTGGCAAACAACGCTCAGCAGCAGCACGTAATAAACAAAATCAGAAACTCACTCGACCATCGCTTACGTACATAAATACTTTGGATGGTGTTTACATAATAGTGCCACCAGGACAAGAGTTTCCAATTCAACCACAATCCGCAATCAAACCGCCGCCCCGTCAGCTATGTGGTATCCCAGGCTGTACCAACCGCAAAGTCTACAGTTGTTCCAAAACGAATATTCCGCTGTGTAGTTTAGCGTGTTATCGAAAGAATCTTGCTGTTACTTAAATATAATAGGGTCCGCCAATTAAAAAATAATAAATGGTATTTTATTGGTTCATTAAGAAGTTGTTGATAATCTCTTGCTGTTCGGACTCAATGCGCTGCAAATATTGATACTCGCTTTTCACACGCTCGAGTTCCACTGTCTGCTCTAGAATCTGACTCTGATAAACTTGCTGCTCCGTCTGACGCTGTTTGGCCATTGTCTTCAGCTGGTTCTGTGTGCCAATTGCCCGCAGTTTTTCATTCTCAACATCTTTAGCGAAATTGAACGATATTTTGTAGAAGTCCTCACCAAATTTCTTAAAAACTTGCAAGTTTCTTGAATATTCCAAGCACTCCTGTCGCAGCTCAATTGTCTGGTTGGCAATCGTTGGATCCTGGACTCGAAGCCTGTAGATTTCGTCCATATAAAGCCCTGCTTTGTGAAGTTCCTCCATTTTAAAATTATTCCGATTGAATTCTAGTTAGTTGGTCTTTTATTAAAATCAATGTTGCCATGGCTACCAATACCTACCCTCTAACTTGGCTAAAGTCTAGCTCTTTGCTATCACATATAAACTCTACACAACATTCTTACAAAATCATCGCTATCAAGAATATATTAAGAACTTTTTATGGTTAATTAACCGAACCATTTTTATTAGTCTGATTTCTACTCATTTCCTTTATATATATATATATATATGTATGTATGTATACATTTGTTTTCTGAGATTGCATATATTTAAATACGCATCAAATATGAGACCTAATACTTTGCCCTAGGCATGGGATCTGGTGTGACAGTGACAGATGGAATATAATTGCGATTAATCTCACGGTGTTCAGTTTTAATACATACACAAAAATTTAATTTGTTGGATTGATTTCTGGTAAGCATATAAACGAATATGTTCCAAAATCGCAGCTGCGATACTCGCATCAAAGATCAGGAGGCGAACCAACAATGGCTGCAAGCACCGCAGTTTTGCCATCTAATCTGAGGAATTTCCAACTTAGGTATAAGTCAAGTGGGGTTGTTCCGCTTGTTTGAGCGCAATCGAGCGAGGCCCGTGCGCTCTTCTTCCTCGTCGCTCGTATACTGATGCATACTGGCGCCACTGACGCCGCCTGCACGCACCGAAGATGTGGCTTGCAACAGCTCCTGGTCCGGCGCATTGCGATTCTCATAGAGTAGAACCTGAAGAGTCTCCTCGTAGATGCGTGCTTCTGGGAACTCGACTTTAGTGTGCTTGCGATCTGTCGCATAAACAATAGATGTACAGCAGACCTCGGCTACTTTTTTGCCGTGCCCATAAAATGACCAGCAGCAAATTTCACTTGGCCCAATTACGTCCTTAATAAAAAGTATTCGCTCGTTAAAGCGTAATGACAGCTTGTCAAACAGTTCGATATTCTTGAGCAAATTATCATCCGACGTGCTTGTGTACGAGTATTTGTTGTTCTGTCGCTGTACCACCAAAATGACGGCCGGCTTCGAGGATGAACTGATCAGCAACTGTTCCTCCTTTTGCGACGTTATCAGCGGTATACGGCAGATGGGCTTCGGTTCCTGGTGCGTATATAATGCCCGCTCACAGGACATTGCAAGCTCAGTGATGCAGTAGTATTTCGCTTCGGCAAGTAGCTCTGCAATCTCCTTGTTTGTCTCCGGCAGCGGCACACTGCCATCACGTAAAAAGTTTAATATTATGCCAAAATGATTGCCACAACGATCGATCAAAATCCAACCTGTTAACCAAATTGAAGCGATACGTATTAAACATGTGCATATACAAATAAGCAACTATAGGTATAAAAACAAACCTTCAGAGTCTGTAAGCACCTCCATTCGCCCACTGAACATGGCACTGAGCATGGTATCATTATGTTTTGTTAGAGTGCCGATCGTCGTATAATACAAACGGCCACCCACATTTAGTTTGACATACTGTGACGCGTGTCCCTTCAATAGCACTTTCTGGTCGCCGGACATAGTTTCAGGCTCTTTGGCATGGAGTACAAGCTGGTTGCTGGCTGCCTGAGTCAAATGGACTTTGCCATTAAAGGCGCGACCCAGATCGTCAATTTCAATGTTGCTGGATGTTGTATTTGAGACACCAGCCACTGCAACCGTGCCGATACTTCCGTTCACTGTGTCCACGCCCTTTTGTTTGGAGCCTCTGCAAACGCTTTCTTTTGCGTTGCTTACGCTCGCCGCGAACGCCAATGGATCAATTTTGGCGAATATTTAAGTCTCTTAACAAGAATATTAAAAAATGCTCGATTTACTCTTGATGCAGTCAATCTTATAAACGTACACACACATGTATATAGTATATATATAGATTAATACACATATACCAGTATGAATGTACTGATGTAAATATAAAAAATGTCTTAAATTATAACAAAACGCTTTCATTCACAAAAAATACTAAATATCTCTTTACGTATTTCTGCGTACCTAAAATAAAGTCTTTTTGATACTAAAAATTACAGCGTAACTGCAGTTGCAAAACGCATTTACATTGACCCCAGTTGCAGTAAGCGAACAGCTTATTGCCATGCCCATCGCACGAGATTTTAAATTTCCTTTGTGAATTCCACAAATTAATAAAAATTTTGTAAGCCTAGCATACCTTTTTTATTCTTCTGAGGTGACAAGGAAGCTGCTTAATTTTTATCGCATCTCCCATCAAAACCGACGGAAAATGTAACAAAAAAAATTATAAATTCAAATACAACCCTGAGTTGGTTTGCTACTTTTCCATTTTCCGACGCATCCAAATATTGGTTCACCAAATTCGAAACACCATAAACTGTCAGCGTGCATTTAAATAACACAATTGGTCCCGGCGAACCAACTTTTTTGGAATATGGCATAACATTAAATACTGACAATTGAAAATAACCGCACCTGAGGAAAATAAATGTTTTGTTAATCTGAATTTAATTTAAGCTCAATGCTATACTTAATGCTATATTTTTTATTATACATACGAACTGTATTTCAGATTATCTACTTTCGGGTAGTTTATAGGCGGCAGAAAGTCTCATTCTTACTGGTTTTTATTTTTTGACTCGTCACATTATACATTAAGTTTAAATATATAAAAAAGTTTTTTGGGTGAACGCATCGAAAAATAATAACTAATAAGTTTATAATTGTATGTATGCATATGAATATATAAGGTGTGGAGTTTGATGATTTAGTTGAATGATAATTAAACGTGAGCTAATGATTTTTCGATTTTAGAAAAGAACAAAATAAAAAGAATATATTTATGAATAGGTAAAATATATGTGTACAAATGAATATTCGTTATGTATACACTTGCATTAAATAATTTGGAAATTGTTTTCTTTTTCTTTGCTCTAAGAGCCCGCATTTATATAGTGTTGTAGGCCCAATAATAGAATTTATGTAGATGATACGACTACCGCAGTTTCGTTGCCTGCATTGAGGCTGACAGTTTCCTTCTGTTCACCAACCGATGATGGTGGGCAGCTAATGGCATCGGTGGCGTTCTTTGCATTTGCATCCTCTGACTCCAGCAAGTTACCTTCAATCTTCAATCGTTTTGACTTGCTAGTAATTTCGGAACGGTTAGCTTCATCAGCTCCTGCGTCTGGTGAAGCGCTACGTTTGAGAGCACTTTGCTCCGCAGTGGCGTCGATGGATTGTTTCTTTTCCTTAGCAGCATCAAGGATTGCGTTTTCCGTCTCAGCTGGATTTATTGTGGATTTTAGTTCTTGCAGTTTTTGCTCAAATTTCACAATGACAGCGGTCATGTTGTCGCATCCAGTGCCATCGCCCATTGTATTTGGCGCCAAACAGTTGTCAAAAAGCTATTTGGTTATTATTTGAAAACGAAATAAATATGAATTTGGTTTATTGCCTAAGACAGGTGCGACCAATTTAGCTCACCTCCTCACAAATTTGCGATAATTTCTTGCTGTCATTTTTCAGACGCATCCGCACAAAGTCGACTACCTCCCCGCTGGACATGTAATTCCATATACCATCGCAAGCCAAGACCATAAACTCATCTTCTGGAGTAATGATTAGTTTCTTGACGTCCGGCAGCGCGGAAATCATCTGTGCTTCAGCTGGCAGCTCCAAGTTCGTTTTGTATGCATGATCTCCCAGAGCCCTGGACAAATTTAGCCCACCATTAACGCGACCATCAAGGGTGACGCGACCACCTGCCTTGACAATGCGTGTAGACTCCTCGTCATCCTCGGGCTTGTGATCTAGGCTCATTTCAATGGCCTTTCCGTTGCGTGAAATAACGCACCGCGAATCTCCAGCATTCGCCACATATAAGTCACGGCCATGCAACAAGCAGACAACCGCTGTACATCCACTATCTTTACCAGGTTCTTCAATCATGTTGGCGCAGAAATGATCATTTGCTAGCTGGTCTTCATCGGCGTCATCTTCGCTAACATTGTCATCCTGAAAATGGTTTGTATAAAGTGCAATACATAAGAAAATCCATTTATTAATCAAACTCATTCTAAAGAACTTGTTAATCAGCAGACCAGGTAATGTTTTCTTTTATGACCGAGATATGTGTATATTGTGTATCTTACCTCGTCTTCGTCGTCGTCGTCCTCGTCGTCATCATCATCGTCGTCGTCATCGTCATCATGACCGTCATTACCTTCTCCCATCTCCTCATCCGAAGAGCTATCAGCTGCAGTAATTTCTTGGGCTTTAATCAAAGCGTTCTCGTCATAATCGGCGTCGTCGTCGGTGGAATCTTCGTCTTGTGCAGAATTGGCTTTTTTCAAAACTTTTTCCGATTCCTTGCTAGTTGATGAAATGTCAGCGGGCTCTGGTTTACCGGGTGTAGAATTGTCCACATTTCCGTTTGCTTTTTTATCTGCAATATCGCTGGAACCAGACACAGCAGTTTCCTCTGTTGCGGCGGGAGTCTCATTTCCAACTTTGACCACGGCTTTAGCCTCTGAAGAGGTAACACTACCATTCTGCTCAGTCGGTGCAACGCCACTGCTATTGTTCGCTGAAGTTTTGCTGATGACGGATTCATCCTTAGGAGTATTACTTGTGCTAGGTGAATTGGTGGTTTTGCTAGCACTTGAACTGCTGCTGCTAACTGTGGATTCATCTTCTGGTTCCAGCTTGCCAACTCTTGAACTGCTTGGGCCAGCCCCGTCTATTTCATTAAAAGCAGCTGCAGCTGCTGCCGAGGTTGAGGAACCTGCAGGCTTAGCTGTTGGATCCATTACAGCTTTATTGACCGCTTCGGCAGCGACAGCCGCAGCACGACGACCACGCAGACACGGCATTGACTTTACGGCAGCGCTGTCCGCCTTAAGCAATGAAAGGTCATGGGTTTGGGGGAGGCCTTTGTACTTCTCTAGAACCTCGTTCAACGGTAAATTACTCTCCTCATGCAATTCAGCGAGATCTTCTTCGTCGTCCTCCTCGTCGTACCCCTCACCATCTTCATCAACAATATTGTGCTCGCCAGCCAGTATCTTCAATGTTTGGACCACTGTTGGGTCGAGCAATGTTTTATCGAATCCTAGAAACGCATCTTTGAGAGCTTGCTCCAACTTGCCGCTCTTGTAACTGTCGAGGCTCATAAGGAACTCTGGCAGTTTATCAGCACAATATTGCGCCACCTCAGCACCGCCGTGACCATCGTAAACCGCAAAAAGCGATGTGTTCGTGTCAAAATTCAATATTGAATTATGCGCGTCCTTAAAGAAATAATAACACCTCAAATAAACGGCTCCGATATACATATATACAAATTTCACTCACTAACCTCTTGACTGTTGCGCCAGCCCTGCATCGAACTGGCACCCACGACGAGCATTTCATTGAATTCATCTGTGGACGCTTTTTCCGTCTTCGGATGCGACAAGTAAGCACCCATTTTTCACACACAATAAGTCCAGCGCTTCAGGAATATCCAATCGAGGGGTCGCGGAAGCCGATGCGACTGCTTTAGTTGCAATTGCGGAAAAATCGATGCTTGGGCAACGCACGCGCGCAGTGTGTACTTTTCGCGCCACCGGCAAAAATAAAGCCGGAGTCAAAGATTGCTTGGATTTGTTATTTCTGTTAGAATTACGACAAATGGGATGAGTTAATTATTTTGCTTCACCATTTCTTCGTTTCTTTTTCGTACATATGACTTTTTTAGCGAATGATTAATATAATTTAAGATCTGCACGTTCTCTTTGGTAGCGTCTCTATAAATTGTGTCGTGTGTATCCCATGCCGCTTTGTTCGACTAAGGTTGCCAAAGTGTTTGCGAAACTCATTTGTTCTTTTAAAGTATAGCTACAAAATGAATACTTTACCCAACTGTCTATTCGTTGCAATTAATGGCTTATTAAAATACTCCTTTCGCAATATTTTCGTCGTTCCTCAAAAAAAAAATCTACACTGCGGACCGTGTGATGAAAAGATGCCATCAAGTTAAAGTTGGGATATTTATATTTAAATGGATTATTTAGGCTCAACAAGTAATACAAGTCTGGCAACACCAAATCGAAAAATTGAGGTGTTTCCACCTTTTAACTGGTACTTGCATTAGACGCACATCGCGCTACAGCTGAGAACGTACAATACTTAAAATGGTTTCTCCAATTTAATTTTATTTAAAGATTAAGGATATTTATTTACTAAAGTAAGAAACGCAGGGTTGCGCAGCATTGACTTTGATTTAATGAAGATTTAAAACAGTAGTATGATACATATACCGAATAATTTTATCGTGTGCATAATTGAAAAGATAAAAATTTGTTTAATAGTCCTAGTGTGCAGCAACGTTTCTTAACATACTATTTACAATCTGCAAATTTGTAATATTTGCAAAGCAACAATTTACAAAATCTCGAAATGTGTAACGCATTGAAGATGGATTCAGTGCAAATAACTGGTGGTAGGAAGAACTTTCGACCCCATAAGGTATATGTATTCTTAGTCAACATGATAAGTCATCCTTCCGTCAGTCATACTACGTAGTAAGTCATACTAGTGCCCCGCGTATTAGAAGTTTGTTATTACGATAACGCGCTCCGTTTCCATGCAATCGATAAAAATCGATATCGAAATCCTGTTTTGTAAGAAAATCCTTTAGGATTTAAGAGCTAGATTCACCAAACTTGGCATGTAGCTTCTATAATACTATATACAAATCAAGTTTCTACAATTTTATAGCTCGACGAGCATACAGGTGGACACACGGACAGATAGACGAATATGGCTCAGCTTGTCGACCTGATCAACAGATGCTTCTTTCTACCTTTAATTTGCGGAGCAAAACAGGACTCATTGTTAAAGATAAAGGCTAGATCATAACGATCGGACAACAAACATGGAAATTATCCAACATTAATTATATGGTGAAATAAAAAACCAAACAAATAATGACTTCAATTGTCGGCTAACGATTATTTGAATATTAATAACATGGATATTTACTTTGTTTGCCTAAATCTGCTGCACTAATCTTTCCTTTGGAAATGATGCAAATGTTTTCGGCTCAGAGATCGCAAACACTCGGCTGTTGATGTCGACAAGAGAATTTACTATACCCATTATTTTGGTGGGTTGTTAAAATAAATCAATTTGAAAGAAAAAACAAGGTGCATTAACATATAGAATTGCTCCATATTGATTAGAATTTTTTTTTAAATGTTTGTGGTGTTAAGGGTTTGATTTGGGAAAAACGAAATGGAAAAAAACAATTAAGCCAAAAATCACGAAACACCTTCTTCAAGCCTTTAGATCCTTATAAGATAATTAATAAAAAAAAGGATAGAAATTAACTTAGTATTAATTTAGTGAAATCAAGGTGACAGCTTATCTAAATTGACAATATAAGAAAAATATCTGCAAGGTGAAAGTTAATTTTGATGCTAGTCAATCCATTGTGATAGGCAGAAGGACCCTTTTTCGATCCTATAAAGTAAACATCTTCTTGTCAGCTGAGTCAATATTTTCGCATCGGACATTACAGGATTTTGACACCTGAAATTAAAAATATATGAGTTCTCGTATATCAAAAAATCAAACAAGTTAACATGAAATAAATACACTCTGATACTTAAGATTTCGTTCTCCAAGAGTGAAATACAAAGTCACGTAATTAGTGTCTAACGTTAATATTAATATTGCATTAATTATATATAGTTAAAAAGGAAAAAAACAGATTAACATGATTGCTCATGATTGCATACAATATTTTTTCGAAATTTGGGCAATTTCTGACTGATATCATTAGGATATACAGTGTAAGCTCCCATAAGCGGACATCTCCTTCGCGGATTGTTTTAGTCCCGTTGTCAGAAAAGTCCGGTTATTGGAGATGGCCGATTATGGGCAAGGTAAATTTATTTAATTTTAAATAGCTTATTGAAGGGAGACATAGAAAAAATAATATATTTTTAATTATTATAACTTTCTGGGGCCTGTAATATGCCAATATGAAATTCTTACAAAAAATATAATTGTAATAGAATTTTTTAATGAACAAGAAATTAATCTCTTTACAATTTTACGCGATTTGCCAACCTCAGCACTTTTATCATAAATATGTAGTTTTGGGTGAAAAGGGGGAATCACAAATTCTATTGGCATGAACACAAATTAAAAGAGGAATTGCTAAGGCTGGAAAATGAATAAAAATCAAAAATTAATAAGAGTCTTCCGAGTTTTATTTCTTCTGTTTGCTTCTAAGAGATTATATGAACAACATTTATCAAAATGTGGTCTTCGCGTTCAGTTATTGTATTTATTGTCCCATAACCAATATGGGAATACATTTTGTAAGGGAAAATTAATGAAAAGCTTGGTCCACGGAATTCGTCCGGCTATTGGAGCTGTTCGAGATGTCTTATTCAATGATATTAAAAAATACGCTGATGAAAATTTGCAGTACACACGCACAGATATACACGCCCACACGCCCACATGAGTACTTCAGACAACAGTCAAGTCGTGAAAGGTCCTTGTTTAATAGAAAGGAATATGAAGAGTCGAGCGTGGCCCTTTATAACTTTTTAATTGTTTCAATAACTTTGTTTGCCGTTGAAATTGCGGCAGGATTGCCAATGGATGTCCGTGGAAAGTAGTAAAAGAAAGCGTTCCCTGCTCGAGGTTCAAAAAGGAATGTTTGCTTAACGCCAAATTATTTTTCCATATATGTGATTAGTCACAGCGACAGATTTCGTAATATGGAATATACATTATGGGCACGACAATGGATTTTTGTTGTTTCCATCTAATTGGCACTTGATAGCGCCAATCCAAATACACATGTGAGTATGCCTGCCTGTACTGTTACCCAATTTTGGGCAACAACAGGTTCAGCATTTGATTAGATAAATGCTAGCTTTAATGGACTGGAACAAGTTAAGTACTGTCTACCAAATCGCGATTGTATGCAACGGAATCGATCTGGTCAGCACCCACAGCATCCCACGAAATAATGCGCCCTATTGCAAAGGGGATAGCCAAGTCCCAGGTGGGCATCTACCTGTGTAGGCAGGTGGCAATCCCGGCGATCTGCAGCTTAGAGGCACTTTAGCCATGCATTTAACATGACCGACTTTGGCCAAGTCAGTCGGCATTGTAGAGATTTGCATGGATTTGCAGTTGGCCAGTCGCAAGCAAACATGTTGCCGTCCCATGCACGCACCTGGCCCGAAGCGAGGCGACAACAGCGACCGCAACAAAAGCACAACAATATATGTAGCAAAAGTCACCTGCCCGCCGACCGAGCACTATCAGCGGGGCGGTAGGGGGGCGGGGGTGGTGTTGCGCAGCCCATAAGCACCCGTGTGCTGGTTACCGTTATCTACGCACCAATACCACGGCAGCGGCTGCTCTGCTGCTCTGCTTCGCTGGCGCGACGTCAGCCGTGCCGTTCAGTATAAAAGCCAAGGCGTCGAAGGACCTGCGCTCATTCACTTCGGTTGAGTTGTGTGCAAACGTTCGTGTCAATTGCAAAGCTCGGCAACATACTCTAGCTACCTGTGGCAGAGGCAGAGGCAGCGGCAGCAGGCGAAAGCGCAGTGCGGTGCAGTTTCAAATTCCAAGTTTAGCCAATGTGAGTTCTCTTGCAAATCTATCAATCAATCAGAAATTCGCGATCTGCTTCACTCTTTAATTTTTAACAAATACAAATTCAATTAAGTTAAAAAACCCAAAAAATAATACTTACATTAAAACATTGATCTCAATTTATGAAATTGCTATCTTCTTCTTCATCTTAAACAAATATACGAATAGGACGAATAAGAATTGACTGCGAATTAAAACATTTAAATCAAGACTTAAAACAGAGCGAGAATATATCAAATGTAAGGCCATTGTTAAATAAAATACGTTAATTGCAAAAATTACATTTATAATAATTTTACCTATTTATTCGATTGAAAATCGTTAAAATGTGATATACGAAGTCTTAAAGTAAATCTCTGGTTCCTAGATGTGGACGAGAGATGAAACTAACTTTGCTGCCTTGAAAGTAAACTGATTACTTTTATTAATAATCATTGTATTTAGTCTACTTATTATTTGTTAGCAAAAAACACAAGTGTTTTATTATAATCATATTTAATTTCGGTATGCACGGCATTTAACTAAACTGATTGAACTCGGAACTCTTATTTATTTTCGGCTCATTTTATCTGCCCATATTTGGTAGATAGCAACTTTGGGTGGAGATCGCCCACAGCTTATTTCAATATAAAAGTATCTACGATAAGGCTCGAGGACTTTTTTACACCAGTTATCGTAAACTCACTGCACGTCATCATTATCCTTTGAGTTCATTTTTAGGAAAGGTGTAAAAAAGAAATGTTATATATATAAATATTAAAATATATATACTGCACAGTCATGCTTGGCTTGAATAGATTAAATATTTTCATTAAATAAATCAGATCTGGAAAACCCGAGAAGTAGAAACTTTCCGAATTTCAATACCCAAGCTTGTATCTAAGACATACGGACGTGGCTCAATCGACTCGACTGTTGATGCTGATCAAAGATTTATCTATTCTATTGGGTCGGAGGTGCTTTCTCCTTCCTGTTACATTCCAGTGCGCACAATCATTATGGCGATTTTTCCAATTTCAATGGGGTTAGGGCACTACAAGTTATTACGATAAACCACATTCCGCCTACGGGGTGGACTTTCCAATTTTGCCAATTATATCTTCTCTGCAATCGATGGCACTGTCGAATTTATTTATTATAAAACGTTGAACAGTCAATTTATAATCCAATTTCCGACAATTTCTGAAA